TGGTGCTGCTATTACACCATCTAGATCATCTCTCTCATTCATTAAATTTAAAGGTAAGATTGATTGATGTTTGTTCTGACTTGAGTATGTATTTTCATTTGCTGCTATTATATATGACCATAAACTTTTATTGATTAGGACGGTTAAATTTTCACTAAAATTGTTTAACTGTAATAGATGATAAAAGACAAGAGTGTTAAATCAATGGCTCTGAGCTAACTCTGTATTTGGAATGGATGTGAGATTTCAGATTTTGAAGAGAATCGGTTTTATTCTTGCTTGTGTTATATACTAAGTGTTGTGCATGAAATTGATTTCACGTATATTGTTTTGCAAAATCCAGTTTTTTAGTCACACTAGCCAAAAGGGCACGGAAATTTGTTAATTCAAATGGATCAATTGGTAATAAATAGTAATTGGAAATTTCGATATTTACGTGAGGTTAAATTAGATTTTGCAATGGTGAAGCAACTCTTTGCTGGTTGTCTATTTTCAGAGGAATTGGGATTTGGGGACTTTTGATGTTTTGATTTTGTGAAGCAACAGTTTCGGAAGTTACCCAAACAATACTCAGTTCAATTTCTTTCAACATGGTTTTTGGCTTTAAGGGGTGGTTCTGTAGATCTCCAGCGGAAAGCTAACACACAGGACCGAGTCATCTATAATCCCAATGCCTTTCATCTGGGAATTTAATTTGCATAACAGAAAGAGGCATCGATTATATTATTGTCATGTAGGAAGAAGCAATTCAGCTTCTGAAGTTATGATGTAGTATTGCATTGTAGATAGAAGATACAACTCTTCCCTTCAAGTTCTGTTTAATATATTAATTCGAGTGTTAAAGGCCTTGCAAGTACCAACAGTCAATGTGGGCATGATTTTGCTGAATTTCTATCCTGTCCCATGCATGTGCATCATGATCAGTTTAAGCCCTAATAACAGATGGCCGATCTTTAATTTTGGTCAATAAAGTTTAGTTTGAATTTTTATCATCAAATTATAGCTTATTAGATATGTCTTGCTTGACTGTATTATACATAAAACTATTTTCATGTAATTTTATGCTGTTAGTCTTGACAACCACCTATATAGCTTATTATTTTTCTTTTCATGTGTGTTTGATTTTCTCCTTGTTTTCTTGGTTTAATTGTTCCAGACTGGATTTGAATGTCTATGGATTGCTTTATGGTTTCAGTTAAACGCTTGACAATTTATTTATTTCATGATATTTGACTCTTTCACAAGGAGATATATAATTATTCCCGTTGCCCTTGTTAATCCTGTGTTAACTTTGAACTCACAGGAGTGTTGCCTAAGTATTTCAATTCAGAGTGGTCTGTTGCTCAGTTTCGCTTACATGAGGGCTCTCATTACACTGTTGCATTTGGTCCCAAAAACAATACAGTCATAATTCTTGGCATGGATGGAAGGTAATATTTGAAAAAATGACAATATTAAATTTTCTGTGGGGTGTAGTTGATAGCTATTTTATATATCTTAGATGCTGTACGTTTTGATTGATAGCTATCTTTCTTTGAAAATCAAGCGGTTTTCATCCGACGTTAATAATATTCACTGAACACTCTAATAGTATTGCTGAATTGACATTTGAAGAAAGGTCATGTCATGAGCAAGAGAATTCAAAGATTGGCAATGCTGTCTCATACTTTTTATTTTTTAAAGAAAAATACCATTACTATAACAAAATTTTAATTGAGAAGATAGGTGCACACTTTTTTTTTTTTTAAAGATAAATGCCATTGTTTTAATTGAGAATGAAGAAGATAGCAGAAAACCTTTGGTCCTCCCATTTAACTTCGGTTATCTGCGTTGCATTGAATTTCATGCCTTTCGTTAGATAAATTGCTCCTGTTATGTATCCACGCCTTCCTTGTATGCTTTATATTTGAAATGCTTGCTATTAAGTGGCCGTTGATGTTAATGATCTGTAGTTGATTGTTATATGCAGCTTCTATCGATGCCTGTTTGACCCAGTGCATGGTGGAGAGATGACTCAACTTGAATATCATGACTTTCTAAAAGCAGAAATAGTCTCGTGAGACAATGTGTTAGGTGACTCAGCTTTAATTAGGGTTATTATTTAGTGATAATGTAAATAGAAGCACCTTATACGAGTAGGCAGAAGTAACACTGAGTTAATTATTCTTTAAAACTTGTCGTGCCAATTATTCTTTACTTAGGTTTCACATGATTAATTCCATTATAGTATTGTAATTATGTAATTATTTAAAGAGATTAATGTTTCTTATGTTATAGGAGATAATTTTATCACCTAATAATGTATGAGATTCATGTTTTATTTTTCTCTTTCTTCTTTTCATGTGGCTTTTATATATTTTTATATATATGTAGGAGATAAAATTATCTTTTACAGAATTGAGAAATATTAACCCTTTATTTAAATGATAAATTTTAGGGTTTTGAAAATGCAATGCAAACTCTTCTTTTATTGTGGTTATGTATTAGTATAGCAGTATCCTTTGGAGCATTCATGTTCTGATGAGTTTTTCAATGGAGGTTGAATGATTTAATCCTCATGTAATACATATTGTTGTGCAATAGAGAGGAAGAGGAAATAGAGATTAAGAGAAAGATTAAGATTATAATAAATTAACAATATAATTTTTTAGGAAATTTTTTTTTCTTTCTCATTTTCATAGTAAAATATCTATTTATATTGGAATTTATAGAGGTGTTATACATGTATATAATATTTGATTCATTATTATTTAGGAATATAATAGATTGTAACCATAAAAGCATCTAATACTTTTAATAATACCTAATAAAGATAGTTATTTACCATGTAAAACATGTTTGTTTCACCATGCATTATATTTTCTTAAATTATGATACATGAATTTAAGTGACATCAATGGATATAAATGTAACTAAGTCCAGAAAATGTATATAAATATTGCAATCAAGTACACGTGTTTAAATGAATGTAATATGTACTAACGACTATTTACAATTTATTCAAGTTGAACAATGTATATGTTGTAAAATTATTCCTACATCAAGATAAAATCGCCAAAAAGAAGATAAACATATAGATTTTTACTTGGTTCTTTCTTGCCTTTGTCTAAATTGTGAGAGAGCCATACTTTTTTCGCTTCTGAAATCATTTTTATACAATTGTAAGAACTCCACTAGTTGTTAAATTTTGTATTCATAGTATTTATGTTATCCTAAATATATCTTTTTATTTGAGTCCACATTAAAGGAGAATATTTCTTACATATCAGTTTTTCACTTTATTATTTCTTAAATCATGTTTGTTGGAATGTATATTTTTATTATTTTATTATCTTATAAAATATAAAAAAAAAAATATAATAAAAATTGATTGCAAATAAAATAATATTAAAAAATTAAAATTTATATTAAGTCGGGATAAATATTTGCAAATAAAATAATGTTTGAATCTGAATATTAGAAATAAAAAATAATAATGTCGGGAGAGGCGTCCCAATATAAGTTTCATAATATTTGAATTAAATTCAATCGGTTTGAATAAAAAATAAAATTATTTTAAAATCATGATTTAAACACGCTAGTTTGTAATTTACATTATTATTAAAAATAAATTGAAGTTAAAGTAAATTGATAATATTAAAATTAAGTTTCATCGATTGAGTTAAAAATCCTATAGTTTTCCCTGAAATTATTGCTTTGAAAGTTGTGTTTGACTGGAGAACATAAGTGTTTTCTTTAATCTGTATTCTTTTTTATCATGTGTTTCTCCTATTTTATTTGTTCTAAATCTATAAAATCGTAGATTTATTTTCCCAATGCCTTAAAATAATGGTAAATCCTATTATTTTTACCTTTTCGATGCATGGTTGAAGCTGAATAAGTTGAGAAAAAATAATAATAATTCACTTACAAGGACCTGGAATTTCAGCTTTGTTACAAGAGTCCTGGGGTATTTTGATTACCCATAAACTTCTCAAGGCAATAGAAATATGTGTGACGTCTTCCAGAAGTAACAAAATTAAACAAATTATCATTTTCCCCTAATTTTTTATTAAAAAATTGTCAAAATTTATAATATTTTTAATTTTATATGTTTTTAGTTTTACACATTATTTAAAGCATAAACAGAAACATAGATAGACATATAACAAAAATATATCTTTTTTCCCTCCTGTGCACCAAACATGCTAACATTACTTATACAGTGCACATAGCCATGCCCATTTCTCCAACGCGAGAAACTAGCTGACTGACATAATAGTTAAGAGATTCCTTTCTTGTAAAGATTTCATATCATATTTTTTATTCCGGATGTTTCGCTTCTCTGTAAGAGAACATAGCAAGAACAATATTTATACATAAAAAAGGGTTTTATAAGAGTTATGTCCTAGGAAAAGTGATTGTGTTATGTTATAGAGATTCGTTTTGCGTGCTGAAGTTTTTTTTTACTGCGGGTCTCACAAAATATTGTAGTGTGTGTAAGAAATTTTGTGTGGTCATGTTGAATAATAGATGATAAACTCTAAAAAAAAAACACTTCATGTGCTCTCACAAGCTTTAGAGTACCTTTTTTACTGGTACACCACCTCCTTTTACTTTGCCTCGTTCAGAAAAATTTATAATAAACTTTCATTGAAATAACTTCAATGGTTAAATTTATTATTACATGTGCTATGAATATAAAACTTTTACTGCAATAGTAGTGAAAGCAAATATGGGGACCGCATCTGACAGCAACATGTCCAAATCTGAGACTCAAGTTTTTCACCTTGATTTCACGCAAAAGGTAGAGTTGAAATTTTTGGCATGTTATGGCTAAACGACAACTTCATGGCTCCCCACAGTCAAATGGCAGGCTTGGTGCCTAAGGTCACTAGCTACACACACTCACAACTCCTCTTCTTAAATGGACCTTGATTTCATATCATATATGTCTCCCTCATTTATCTCAAAAGCTCTAGTAGTTATAGCACCGCTTAATCTGTGTCTGAAAAATTAAAATGGCACTCAAGCTTTATGGTCTTGCTATGTCCACCAACACCACCCGTGCCATGGTCTGTCTCCATGAGAAAGAGGTTGATTTTGAGCTTGTTCCAGTCAATGTGTTCGCCAAAGAGCATAAACAGCCTCCTTTTCTCTCCAAAAATGTAAGCACTTCTAATGTTTACTCCATCTCTTCTGATATATATGATCTCCAAGTTCACTCTCTTATCTTCATAAGTTTTCTTTTCTTAATTAGCTCCCTGCCCTCACCAACTTTTTCTTTGTTGTTCAATATTCATGCAGCCCTTTGGTTTGATTCCAGTGCTTGAAGATGGTGATCTCACTCTCTTTGGTATGCTTTGATCATCCATTCTTTCTTTCTTTTTTCAATTGGGATGCTATTTTACAATTTTTGTACTCTGCATGCCCCTTTTATTCAGAAAACATACCGTGATGCAAGTTTTCACATTTATCAACTCCAACCACTCATGCATGTCCCATTCTTTGTTACTCCATTTAGTTAGCTAAGTATGGCAAGAGCTAGAAATCCTAGGCGAAACTGCAATGTGTAATTTATTTATTTTTAATTACAACTAAAAAATGTATTATAAAAAAAGGAAAATGAAAAGTGTTTATGGCACAACTTATATCCTTTTACTCTCACAAAGAAATGGGACCCACACTTTTATATTTTTTTGTCCACTTTTTTTCCTCCTTTATCTATTTTTTTCTCTCACTTGAAGTGACATAATTTTATATCCTTCAAAATAACACACACTTTTTCCTATAAAAAATTAAGCTGATACTACGTTTCAACAATTGATCTAAAAGTAGAAATGGCGATGGCACACAATGTGTTCAGTGGCGAGCCACAAAGTATGTGTGTGAGACCTTGGTCCTAGCTTGTATTTGAAAATTAGCCATATCTTTAATGTAGTTAAACCGTGACTAAGTTTTTGGATAATATTTAGTGTTAAGTCCCACGGTCCCACTTATATTTTTGTTGGCCCTAGCTTAACAAATTGGCCGGCTCCGCCACTGAATGTGTTTCGTTTATCTTAACCTTTAAATGATATCTTTGTGTGTGTGTGTGCAATAGAATCCAGAGCAATTACCGCATATGTAGCTGAAAAATTCAAGGAAGCAGGACCTGATCTGATTAGGCACAAGGACGTAAAAGAAGCTGCATTGGTAAAGATGTGGACAGAGGTAGAGTCTCACTACTACGACCCAGTAGTCTCCCCCATTATCTATGAATACTTCGTGGCTCCATTTGAAGGCAAAGAACCCAACAAGTCAGTGATTGACACTAACGTTGAGAAGTTGAAGAATGTGCTTGATGTGTACGAGGCCAAGCTGAGCAACACCAAGTACCTTGCTGGGGACTTTTATAGTCTTGCTGATCTTAGCCATATCCCTGAAACTCACTATTTTATGCAGACCCCTTGTGCTTCAATGATCAATGATCGACCCCATGTTAAGGCTTGGTGGATGGATATCTCTTCTAGGCTTGCTTTCAATAAGGTTGTGGGAGGTATGACTTTTGGTCACATATGAGAGTTTTGTGAGGTTGGTTCAGTTGTTGCCACTTAATTGCAGTATTCTAGCAACTATAATCTTGTATTGGGTGTTGTTTGAAACATGTTTCATTTCCTTATAATTAGTACAAGGAAAACGAAATCAATTTTAAGTGCTCTCTTGTCCATTTGCATTTTCCTAGTGGAAGCACAATTAATTTATGGGAAATCATTGCAACGAAAAGTTATCTATAACAATTAAGTATAATTATGTACTATATGATGTGACAGAGACTGAAAAAAAATCAATTTTATCATTATAACTATCTATTATTTGTATGTGGAGCCACTTGTATGGGTGACTAATTTTAAAAATAATATAGATTTTCTACAAAAAAAAATTATGGTATAATTTGTGGGTTTTGTGTTTATCATTTTAAATGAAATAAGTTATGTCATTTTAGGAAATAGATAGACACAGAAAAATCGTAATCACAGGAGAGATGGAGTGATTTTTTTTAATTTAAAATTAAAATTTTCTTTCATTTAAAATGAAACTCATCCTTTATTTATAAATCTTGCGATTGACTTTAACATCTTTAACATAAAATTTGTTTGGACTAAAAGAAATGGTTGCGCATCCGGGGAATCGAACCCCGGTCAGTACCGTGGGAGGGTACTATGATACCACTACACCAGATGCGCTAATTGAACATAGAGCAGAATAAATTAGTATCGTTTCATTTAGTATATAATGCGATCATGACAAGACACCTTTCATGTGATTCTTCCGACTTCCGAGCCATGTTAATTAAGACATTTGATCGAAAACTTCTTTAGCGAGATTAAAATGTTTAAGGGGACGTTTGGTTAAAGGAATATTTTTTGAATATTAGAGAAATGGTTAGAAAATAAATTTAGTAAGAAAATGTAAAAAAAGTTGTTTGCTTAGAAAAAATTTTACCGGGAAAATTAGGTAAGATTTATAAAGTCTATGTTTGGTTGATGATAGAATATTGATGGAAAAAATGATTGAAATGATGAAAATAACCCTTTATTAAAATATTAACATCTGACTTTATTAAATTCTTCTCCTCATTCTGTTGGATATATGCTCTTTTGGTCACTAAAGTCCTATTGGGCTTCAGTGAAACTTGAGCCCATGAGGCTTAGGGTTAAGTTATGTCTAAGACCTAAGCGTATATATTCATAGTTTTCTCCTCTTGTGCCTCCAAGGTGATCAGATCATCAGAAAAACAAACCTAAGAGGCAGACGTTCATCATCTGAACGGTTGCCCACACAACCATCTCATCCTCCTCGAGAGATAGTCTGGAAGATCTGCCACAGTCCAGCTTCAAGGAGGTTGTTTGTGTTGCGGCGCTGAGGTGAGCTGTTCGTGAAGAGGAATCCTACAAGGGAAGATTCTACACGACACCTGCGCACCGAGAGGTAATTGTGAAACAAGGATGATTCGGTAAGCATACCAATGTACTAGGTCCTAAACCGCTTCCGCATAAATCTAAGATTTCCTACAATTGGTATCAGAGCCTTGGCTGTACATTGGTATGTGAATCTAGTTTCACTATTCATGTAATTAGTTTTGCTTCTTGAAATGTGGCACCTAGGGTTCTAGGATTATGGTATGAATCTAGCATGTGTATTTTATAATTCATTTTCATAAAAGTTTAAATTTTAATCGGTAAAAATGCTTTAATCCATGGTTAGGGTCTCTCGTGTATTTCTCGATTTGTAACAAGGAGGCTAATCCCATATGATTAGGTTTCCTCTTGTTGGTTTTGTTTATTTTTGGAATTTCTGTGTATTTTTTCAATATTTTGTAAAAGTTCAAGATCGAGAAATCGCGAGGAAGATGCGCAGTCAGCACTTTCGGAGACTTTTCGAGGACTTACCGATCTCAGAATGGGGCGATCTATATATGGTTGGAAAGAGGACGGAAATACGAACGCAACGGTGGGTGGATCAGCGCCATCTGAGTTTACACGCGCCTCCACGCGCCTCCACAAGATTCTGAGAGTGGCCGCCACTCTCCGGCAAAGAATGGGAGAGTGAGAGAGCGTCCGGCCACCTTTTTGGGTGGTTCCGGCGGCGGTGCACTCGTCTCTACGTGGTGGTACTTCCCCTGGAGTTTCAGCCTGATTTGACTTCGGGTGACGGCGCGGCAGACCTGACGGCTAGGGTTCCTCTTTCGCGTCCTAGGGTTTCTCGCCAAAGGATTGGGTCTTTGGGCTTTTGGGCCCATGAAACCCTAAAGGGGCTTGAGACAGATACTATGGGCTAGGCGAAAGTTGAATTCTAAAGTTGTATTATTTAATTTTATTTTATTTTCTTTAAAATAGGAAGGCCATGGATTAAAGTAATTATGATTTATTATTTAATGCTTTTATTGATTGGTATAAATTATATGATAGATAACATGCTTTATTGCGATAACATGCCATATAGAATAGGTGGTGCCATATTGTTGCATAACTTGTATGATTGCATGAGCATAATAGCTATTATGTCTTCAGCGACTAGTATGATAGTTATTATAGGATTATTTTGATTTTAAATCATCCTAAGAAATTAATTAATAATTATTATGATTTTTATTAAAAATCTAGATTAATAATTGAATTAATTAATTTTGGATTATTAACATCAAGACAAATAATCGTTATGGAAATTATTTTGATTTCAAATTATCCTCATAAATGATAATTATTATGATTGTTGCAATCTAGATTAATAATTAAGTCAGCTATTTGGATGATTTAAATCTAGAAAAATAATTAGAGAAAATTTCCTAAGAGAATTCTTTTATTTTGCGAGTAATTTGTGGGTTTTTCTGAAATGGTCATGGAATAACACACGCTGCATACAACATTCATGTATCATGATTGTTTGGAGCACACGCTGACGTAAAGTGACCGGATTTCAGGACCTTAATACTTTCAAAATTATGTTAAGCTTAGTGCACGTTTATCGGCGCTCTTACTTATATAGTTTTTGAAATCAAACAAAGGATACTCTCAATTAAATAATTCTTGGAAATTCGAAAATGTTGCTTATGTTGAATGGAAGGAGATTTAAATTAAGAGATTAATTTAACCTTCAAGCGCATTATAGGACCATTAATAAAATAATCATGTGAAGTCCCATCGAATAAGCATGATTGGATTTTATTAGATTGGACTTAAATATCTATGGGAGGAGATTTAAATTAAGAAATTAATTTAACCTCCAGGCGCATTGTGGGCCTATCAATAAAATAATCATGTGAGGCCCCAACGGATAAGCATGATTGGATTTTATTGGGCCTTAATAATTTCAAAATTTTAATAAAGTATTGTACGTCCCATCGTCGATAATACTAAGTTATTAAAGATAATTTTGAAATTAAACAATGAATTCGACTGGGCTTATGAAAATTCTCAAACAAAAATGTTGAATGGGTGAAGGTTTTAAAAATTAATTAATTTTAAAACCTGCGGGCTCCATTTGTGGGTTTATTAGTGAAATGGTTATCGCTGAAGCCCCATCGGATAAGGATAATCAGATTTCACTAGATTAAATCTTAATAATTTCAAAATTTTAGTAAAGTATTGTACGGCCCATCGTCGGCAATGCTTAGACACTAAGGATAATTTTGAAATTAAACAATGGTTAATTACATTCAACTTTGGTAAAATTGTTAACCCTCCCATCGAGGCTCTGGCAATGGCACTGAAGGCCCAAATAACAATTTTGGTTTTTACAAGTGACTTGCCCATCGTAAGCTTTGTTAAGATAAACTGAAGGATTGTTAACAACAAACAAGAGTAGTCATGAGAATCTACTCGCACTTCGTTTGTTTATTGCATTATTTGTTTGTAATTGTGTGCTTTATATGTTTTTCAGAAAATATCTTAGAAATGATTTTGAGTCGAAAACCTCTAGATGGTACCAACTATGAATAAGTGAAAAGCAAATTTTTTGATATTGTTCTAAAACATGGAAGCTAAAATTTGTTCTGACAATGCGAGGGCCATAGCAACCTGCAGAGGATGCGTCTAAGGAAACTAAGATGCATTTCTCAGATTGGGAAAGGACAGATATGGTAGTTCGCTGCTATATTATTGTCAGTCTTTCCAAATACTTGCAGAAGCAAGTGTACATGATTAAGAGTGGAGTAAAAATGCTTCAGACTCTTTAATGACATGTTTGCTGCGTCTAGCGGCTCTGCCAGACAGAATGCAGTCGGTGCAGGTTTTGCTAAAAGTCTTGTTAAATCCAAAGGGAAACCCAAGGGTGGTAACAAGAACAAAATGACTTGGTTATCAGTTGTCAAACCAGTTGCTATGAAGAAGCTGCAAGGCAAGTTCTTCAAGTGCAGACTGAAGGGATACTGAAAGAAAAATTGTCCAGAGGTGATGAAAAGAACCTGACATGGGCATATCAAGGCCTGATCAGTGAATGAATTATTGATTCAGGAATCACTGATTATGTTTGTTACTCTTTGTAGTAGTTCAAACATGGCATACCTGTCAGCAATGAACAGATATTTTAAGCTTGAAAATGGGAACTTGTGTCTGCATTTGCAGTAAGACAAGTTATTTATAAGACTATGGTTTTGGGTGATTGTTTATTTGTTCTAGATTTCAAGAGGAATTCAATTTTTGTTAGTTGTTTTGGTTAAAACATGGGTTGACAATGCAATTGATTCCTCGGTTACATTTCGAAGTTCATCTTCGTCTTGTTTGTTCTGGTACATTGTTTAAATAGTCTTTATTACCTATGTCCTATACCCTTTTTAAATTTGTTATGCTGAATGGAAAGGATGATGAACAAGAACTTTCACCAAAGAAATAAAAGTTTCAAATGAAACATCACTTTGGCCTTTGTGATTGAGTCATATTATCTCAAGTAGGAAACATATTTTAGTTAAAAGAGGGACTGAAAGTTCAATAATCTTTTAACTAACAGCTACATGTTAGTCCTATTTGGAAGGTAAAGTGGCCAAGCAATCCTACAAGGGCCAAAAAGGTTTGCGCAACTAT